GTTGCACATTGATATATAATAGCTTTGTGAATTTTTAGACTAAGTTTACGAAATTGTCGGCAAAAGCAAGCTTTACCCATCTGCTATTATATTAGAACTTTTTCTTTTGTCTTTCATCATTTCATTCCATTCATTCCAAGCTCTCATCCGCAATTATTATATGAATCAATTCTATGTTTATCATGGTTTACTCTGCTCACGGTATAAATGTTTTTTTTTTTTCTAAGGATGCATCCAGAAGAAATGGCAAAATAATGTCAAAAGGCATCGATTAATCAAGATGCATTTTAAATATTTATTAGATATTTTAATTTAACTTTTATGTACGAGGTTAACTGTGGTAACTATAAAAATATTGCTATTCAAACTCAATCCGCGAGTTGGGATTTGCTACACTGTACTAAGGAAGAAAGGGACTATGGATTACGCCCTCGATGCTGGGGAATTACATATGTGTAGACAGGATGTTTGAATTGAACTTAATCATACAACCTATTCTTTAATTTCACAGCTTATTTCTCCATTTAATACAATGCTGCAGTGCGTGTACAACCATGGCTGGTGGTACCAGGGAGGGAGGAAGGGGAACTTATTGGCTCCATAGTACTCCATACAACCCAACTAATTAACTGTGTTGGATAGTTTTTCCTCATGATAGGACTATAGCGCAAATGAAAGAATAAATACACTCAATTATTGCTTAAATCCGTTTCGATACCTCATACTCTTTGTAACATGAGTTCGCAGTCATACCCGACATATCCTATTCATTTATTCTTTATTATCCATTTCTGTTCTCAAATTATTCGTTTCTTTTTTACTTCTTTACAATGACAGCAAAAATAAAGTTATAAAACACGTAGGAGTTGTCTTACTAAACATAACATTCCAAAACAGTATTGAATGACAATAACGAGTCATTCCACATACCATGGAACTATCGTGATATGCGCAAAAATAGCGACGTTTCTATGTCCACATGATCAAGTTGTTTGATTATTCTCCTTAATAATGTAAGGGCGAAATAAATAAATTTCTGTCCAAATATTTATTTATTTGTAGATAAACCGCAATGTAGGCCGGCTATATATTGTAAATTTCCCTGTAGAATATCTTTGTCTTGGATATATATAAACAGATACTATTGTTATGTAAATCCGGGTTAGATTTTGGCACCTTCGCATCAGACTTTTACATCAGTACATTACACATTGTATTGGGCTGAATTACTTTTAAGGTGCCTTTGGACTAACGACATTGTTGTTAAAATAGTATGGAATGTGTAATACACCAATCGAGACAGGGTACCAGAGTGACGTGGTTAACTTTAGCATTATAAATATATAACCTAAAAATCTTTAAACTATTATCTTGAAAATTCTTGTGACGTAGAGAGTAAAAGAACTAAAAGGAAATCAGCGAGCAATACCGTAGTAATTGTTGAGCTACTACATTTGTGGATCTAAATATATGCATTGCATCCTAATTCTATTAGTGTAAAGTGAGGTAGGTCTATAGTTGGTAAAAATAATATACACAGCGATTCGTTTAGAGCAATGCTGGTTAGCAAATTATTACTTTTTTTTTGTTGTCTTGATCGCTTTCCATTGACTTGTTCGATTTTGCCAACTTTTATTGGTTGAATCCACTGTCTGTTATGAGGTACAAAAATTACAATTCTATATTTGAATTGCCTAATTTTTATATTTAAGTAAATTAGTATTTCACGATTGAAAATTTGATAAGAACAAATTTTACCCGTCAATTAACTAACAGTTAAATACAAATTTCCTGTAGGACTTTATATATTTTGCCTTGACGCTTAAATTGGCTGGTAATATTGGATTTGTATATAAAAATGTTTGTTTAATTTTGGATCTGTTTCTGTTTACAAAATCACTATCTATTGTCAATTTGTCTGGTGTATACGAGTGCTGGTTCCGGTATTAAGACAGGGCTCCATTATCAGGGTGTATGATTGTGACGAGTCAACTGGGTGTGGTTATGTTGTTAATAAAAGATAGCCAGTACGTAGGCCTACACTTCTAGAATTTTTTCTTTAATAAGAAAACTTTTTATGAGAACACTGAGACTTAAATTGCCTAAAAATAAGGAAAATAAGGAAAATTTAAAATATAGTTTTTTGAATTATAAAGAAAACAAATTAAAAAAAACCTATAATATTTTTGAGAAAAAAAAAACCAACAAATCAAGAGAAAAAAAATACCCTGTGTGTAAAATTCTGTTTGGTCTTATTTGTATCTTTGTGCAGCAGATGTGATTTTGTAGTATAGTAATTGCCTAATACAGTACTGTTTAAGCCTACTTACCGGTACCATTTGTCTTTGAAAATACCATACCCACATATAGGTCAAGTGTCCTATGATTTACGATGACACCTCGAGCGCAGGTCGGAAGCAATTATTATTTTTTGTTATTTTATAAGAACCATATGGTCAGTATCATTTAATCCGAATTATACATTACCCATTTACCATTTATCTGTCCTATTGCTGTCTCTTATACACATCTAGATGTGTATAAGAGACAGCAATTATTGCTTAAATCCGTTTCGATACCTCATACTCTTTGTAACATGAGTTCGCAGTCATACCCGACATATCCTATTCATTTATTCTTTATTATCCATTTCTGTTCTCAAATTATTCGTTTCTTTTTTACTTCTTTACAATGACAGCAAAAATAAAGTTAGTATTGATTTGTATCCGGTGAAATTATGAAAGTTGTAAGTTAGGCCTAAAAGTAGTAGTAGCTCAGATTATTGCGAGTTTGGAGAGTGAAGTTGTTTTCCTTGTGAACAGAATAACACTACAGTATTTTCTCAGAACATTGGAACTGGACGGGCCTACCGTAACTACCGAACTCCAAAGAAATTCCCCTCTAAAGGAAAATGATTGTAGATTAATTATATGTACGCACATACGAATTTTACAATCACAGCACAGGGTTTTAATAACAAGTTATAGTCATACCAAAGGACTTTTTAACAATAATCTACGTTAATCCAGGGTTTGTTGTTAGCATGTTTTTATGTCAATTTGTGTTTTAAGGTCACATACCGCGAATAATACATTTATTTTTTACAGAAGACTTCAGTCTATAAATGATTGTTGAGAATAAATTTCAAATTAAAAATTAAAAGGAGAGAGGGAAATAAAGATAAAGATAAAACACAGTATTAATTAACACATATTTTAAGATATGTTTTACGAAAAGTGAATATTTTGTTCGTTTCTGTTTATTATTATATGGTTATTAGAGAACACAACAACAACAATAATAATAATAATAATAATAATAATAATAATAATAATAATACATTAATAAGTAGGCCTATGTAAATAAGTATGCTTTGAAATAGGAAACACGTAGACCTATAATTTTCTTTATAAGAACCAGAAACATTTTGCACAGGCTCATTGTATTTTATTTTTACCAATTTTAGGCTCAAATTGTTCTTATTTTGTTCTTGCTTCAAAGATAGAAAATTATTATTGTACAGCAGTATATTACTGCACTGTGTTGTAGAGGGTATATATCCATAGAGATAGGACCAAAAGAATTTTTTTGGTTGGTTTTTCTAGGATTAAAAGAAAAAAATAAAAACATTTAAATTTTACCTCAGCCTCAATTTGTTATTATTTTTAATCAATTTTAAGCAGTTTATAAAATGTTTTCTTATTTTTTAAAAACCAGCCTAACTAGACCTAGACCTCGTGAGAATAAAATAATCTGAATTCAAATTGAAGCATTTTAGCTCCAATATTTCGCCAAATATCATCCATGACGGTACAGATTAGGAAGCTATAGAGAGAGCTTCGTGGTGTCAAAAGTTTAATAAACCCTTTAATTCGATATACATTAATAGGCTTATGTCTTTTAACCGGCTAGGTGCCGATCCGTGCAATTATAATACGATATAAATACTGTTATTGTGTCTAATATCTGTCTGGATAATTCATTGGTATTCAATCTGTATAAGGCCTTGCATCCATTCAACATTTACACGTCAAGTTGATATAGTCATTGATTGCGAAGGATTCAACCCAAAGGCTTCTCAAATTAAAAACAGTGCTTAATGTCTATTTTTTTATTTTCACTTTCTTGTTACTGTTTTTTTTTTTAATGGATCAAATGATATTTTATTGAAATGAATGAAAAGTGATCAGATGTAAACAAATTTTAAGCGAAAGTCTCGACTACAGGTGTTATGAATAATGTTCACAGATGTTAGTAATTATTTTCAAAACATTTACTCATCTACCGCAAGTATTTGTGGTTGCATTTGCGTTGGTCCCTATTTTCACTTTTCAATACTGTTACGAATGTGTTTAGTTCTATGGTTCTAATAATCCCATACGGCACATCGGTTAAAGCAGCGTATTATACCCCACTCCCGAAGGCGTATTTGACGGAGTTCATTGGTATAGGCTGATGTTTCATTAGAAATTAATTAATAGTTCAGGGCCTTCTGACTCCAATAGGATGGCGGTTTATTTTATAGATAACGAATTTGTAGGTATTTTATCTCTTTATCTAATGGTATTGTTTCTATTACCATGGCGATTTTAAACAGTCAAAATGAGCAATCTTCTGGGGGAGATCACTGATGACAAGTTGATATGTTTTTGGAAGTTGATAAGATCAATTATGTGTTTTCTCATCAAGAAACCTCAAGCATATGATCAGTCATGTATCTGTATTTGTGAAGATAAGACAGTATAGTTTTTACAGAACATTTTAGTCGACCATTGAATTTAAAGTGTGTGAGGATTCAGTTATCCAACCGCCAGCCTTGTCCACAGCCATGGCTTGCCGTGGGATTATTAAATCTTCTCGGCCTAAACAAACAGTTAGCTTCAGAAATGATTTAGAAGATCCGGCTGTAACTCCTATGCCGAAACCTACAGCTGATATAACCGAGAAAAGAAAAGTTAAAGTTTCTTTTGACGATCTTAAATCTTTCAATTTATCCCCAGTTAAAGATGAACTAGAAGAAGAGGAAGTCCCAGGTAAGAATTCAGATCAGGTAAACGGAGGTGACAGCGAAGTTTTTGCACCAAGTGGTCGGAATGAAAACAACAATCGAGGCGTTTCACGGGTGTCATCATTTCATAAATTTAGTAAAAGTTTCAAAAGGCAAAGTTCTATGCATATGGCAAGATTAAACAGCAGATCAGGTGAGGAAGATCTAGCGATAGTTAATGAAGAGGATGGCTGTGACGACAGCGATGAAGATATCGAGGACGACCCTGAACAAATGATGCGATATGTTGACGAGAGCGTCATAGGTAAAGATGCTTCTTTCGTGGGACCTTATGGCGAAAGAAAAGGTATAGTAGATCACAATATATTAATATCTTTCTTCTCAAAGTTTGGCTTGTATCAGTGTCATTTTTAAAAATGCTTGGTATAATGCACCCCACTAGTACATGTAGTGTAGGCTATTATATTTGAGTCTGCCATATTGCAATATTAGACCTTCAACCAAGCGCATTTTGTTTAGATATTCATTTGTTCTCAGCTATTAATCTTAGTTTTTGGTATTTTGGTATTCTATTATATTTGGGTCACGTCGGCATATCGCAACTCCTTCCTTTGTCGCCAACCAAATATATTTATATAATGCCTAAATGAGATTCCCTTTCAAGCAAATGACAAGATAAAGGCTTCAGGGGCGGATCCAGAGATTTTCTGACTGGGGTAAGGGGCACGATATAAAGTCCATGCCGCCACGCCCACCTCTGCCCCACCATGGTTGGTGTAAATAAGTGGTAAACAATCGAGCTCTTCTTTCACCCGCTGCTGGATCGCCACTGAACTCATGGGTTCACTCCCTTTTCCCCGCTTTCCTCTCTATAACTCAATTTTTTCTCCCTCTTTTGGAATACTGTATGCTAAGTCATAATTAATAACTAAGAATAAGTAGTCTTAAACAAGACAGTTACCAGGACAACACTAATACTGAAGCCACCACTAAAAACAGCTTATTAATTTTGAGAAATACAAATTTAAGAATGACAGAACCTATTATAGGCCTAACTTAACAAGAAAATTCAATCCGTAAAAAACATAATGAGTATTGTCAGCAAGAGAAATAAAGCTAGACCTTAATAATACAGTAGTACCATTCGCTTTAACAGATTAGGCCTGTATAATGTTTCATTATACTGTACGGAAATACCCATAAACAAATCTACGAATATTAATAATTGCCTTTTAAGCCTGGAAGGAAAAATCGAGAATCAACAAGCTTTTATCCTCGATTAATATAGAAATCAATAACATTGAAAATCCCGTCATAATATATAAGTTCTATTGTAAAAGGTATTGGAATCATTTTGTTATATTTCAACGTACCGTAAAAGTATTCGAAAGTCATCGAACTAGAACGAAGTAAAAATGGCTTAGGGTCCTAAATATTCAACCAGCATCATTGGTCAATCCCAGTTAAAATAGCATTGCCATTGTGTGATGAATTACGTCCTTATATGATCAGCCTTAGATTTAATAACACAATAACCAGCATCAGTAGTTTATTTTTATTTCTTATTCATTGCACTTGAGCAAATTAATTTACTGGCATTATGTCTGCGGCAAACTATGAATAAAGTGTAAGTAAAGTATCTTGCACTTAACATCAAATGTATACATTATATTAACTAATTCTGTTGTTTTTATGTTTGTGTTTTTCAGTTACTTACTGTGACTATACGGCTTCAGGCAGGTTTGTATTATTGTTTCCTTTCAATAACCTCATTTCGAGGAAATTTAATAAGTCTTTCCAATAAGTTGTATTTTAATTGGTGAGCACATACTGGAAATAATCAATGTTTTTGAATATCCGCATTTATAATAGCCTAAAGACGATTAGAGTGACGGTACCTGGGTCGCATTTACTTGCCACGAACCTTGAACTTACAAAATCAGCCTGTGCCAAAATATCTTTAAAAAATTATCACAATCTTGTTATTTAATTTACCAAATATAGGACTAGGACTATTAAAGGCGGCAATTGCTGAAACATTGAGGATTAGTAAAATTGGTACTACTGACTTTATATTGTTTAAGTTCAAGAATATTAGACCTATTAATACTATTTCGGTTAGTATATAGCCCATCATGCCCAGCAAAACCTCTCGCTGTTTTGATTTCTTCTAGGCCTGCAAATTCTAATAATGGTTAACCTCCTTTATAATGTATTTGGCTTTTCAACCATACAGTAAGCTGTAGGCATAGGCATATCATGTTAAAACCGAAAGGTTCACTGATTAATCTCAGATAATATAGTATAATAGATAGGTCTACTCCAAGTATCGAAATGCACCATCGTGTCGGGATTCAATATTTCGACATTAATTATGTCATCACCATGTTAATTGTTCCTATTTTAAAATTACATGTGAAAGTAGTACATGGCTTATATTTTTCTTGTAGGCCATTGAAATTTATCGAAGAATACATTACAGAGCATGTACAACCATTATACGCTAACACACACACTACAACAAGTGTCATGGCGAAACAGACAACCAGATTTCGTGAAGAAGCTCGTGAGATCATTAAAAAGTGCGTAAACGCCAGCGACCAGGACACGTGTATTTTCACCGGGAGCGGTACGACGGGGGCAATCCACAAATTAGTCAACGCTCTTGATCTCAAAAGCAAAGCCAAGAAGGCGGTAAGAATAAAAACAGAAATATATATATATAACATATATGTATAACACATTGATCAAATAAAAATAAATAAATAAATGTGTGAAGATTCGGCTTAATAAGCTTTCCAGGTTAAGTTTTCAGGACATTGACTAAGAAAGTTGGAAGTACTGTACAATGTAAATAAGAGAAGAGTGTAGGCTTACAGAGGAAGGAACGTAATCTGATTGAATACCTGATACAGTTGTTTGAAGAGAAGTGGTATAGAATCTAAGAGTTTCTTTTACTAAAGCAATCAGTCCATTAAGGATAATGCGCTATTCGACCCTTATAGGAAGAGGCAAATATGTAAAGTAATAACTAGACTTCCTTTGTCTGTTTGTAAAGCAGAACATGGGACTTTTCCTCATTGCCACAATGAGAAATGGTTACAAAAAATAATTAAGTAATAAAGTGTAAAGTAAAATATACATGAAGAACAACAGTGCATCTTTAATTTGTCTACCCTTGCGTAATGTTATAAGTCGCGGGCGAAAATAATTGTTCAGGCATTTCAATGTAAATTTGTGTTTATCATAACTATAACTAGTTTCTAATGCTTTAGAAAACGCAAGAAGAAGAAGAAATCGATAATTAAGAACTGTTAACGGATTTGTGTAAATTAACAATTTATCGCAATGGATAAATGGTGTTTAATTTACAATGATTCCTTTAATTATACAGGTAGTTTTTGTTGGACCTTATGAACATCACAGCAACCTTCTTCCATGGAAAGAATCAGGCGCAAAGGTATAAAGCTTACGTGCATAATTTTTGACACTTTATCTAGTTAATATGGTGGATTAGATTGTTTACGTCATTTGTGACGCCACACTCATGCTGCGAATGCAATCATCCTGTTCCAATTCTTTTGTTGTCTGTGGTGTATCATTATAGTTTGTGTTTACTGAGAATATTGTACTGAGCGCGGCTAAACAATTTCCTTGCCAAGAATTTACACGGACACATTTTCTATACTTTTGCAATGGCTAGTAGTCAAGTAGTGTAGTGAATTCTAAAAATCAATGACAAGTGAATTGTAAAAAAACCTGGTTATGGAACCAAATGAAATTCTTTGAGAAAACTGAATTTTTATTGTCTATACCTCATTTGAAGTTGGTAACTTTATTGATTATTTTAAATATTTTTTTTTTCAATTGATTTTGAGGTTTTCCAGATTTCATCACAGACCTAACACCTTCAAGTATGCTTATAGGCCTAACAATCAATCGATCGAATCCTCGAAATTCGGATATATCCGTGAATGATAAATTTATGTCACTTATTATATACTGTAGTATTACTTAAACTACCAGTATATAATTGTCTAATAATACAACCTTTCCATACCCCCAGGTGATTCGCATCAAAGACACACCCAGGGGAACACTTGACCTTGAACATCTCAAGCAAAATCTCAAGGTTTGTTATTTTCAATAATGTTTTTGGTCAAAAGTATATTAGTCAAAAGGGGTCTATGTATTTAATGGATTCCGACAGAGCAGCTTGTTTAAGAAGCAACGTCAAGTCTTATATAAATACAATAATAGGCTCACGTTTGTTTAGTACATATGCGTCACAGTTATAGGATAGACAATTTATCCCCTCCACCTGCAGTCCAAACCAAATGGAAAGGGACGAATTTCCTACCTAATGGCCTAATTCACTATTTAAGTTTTAGGCTCAGAATGATGAATTCACATGGACCGAAAACTCTTGTCACATCGGTTTTGTGTCATTAGCACGTCAACATCAGACACCAGAAACAATACAGTCTCCATGCTTTATTTCTCATATCTTGCAAGTGGATAAGAACATACGTTCCCATTAAGCAAATTACATAATTTGCTTAATAAACTTACATAAACTCGATTAGAACCTTAAGCAAAAGGGATTCCGAAGTTGTTTTGATGATGGCCCAAAATGACATTCAATTGTTGGCACAAGTCAAACGGATATTTTCGTGTACAAGAAACAAAATTCGCAATGACAACTAGGAAGAGGATAATAAGCCTTTTAAATACCATTGATTATGATGTTGAGTTTTTGTTTGGTTTTGTTTTGTTTTGATATTTTTTTTTGTTGTGGTGTGATGGTGTGTTTAATTTTTACTTTCAAGAAATCAATGAACAAATGAATGAACTAATATTAGCCTATTATTTAATTAAGGGATAAATAATGATTTTTGAATTATTATCATTAGGCCAATTTTGTATGTACCTATGCCTACCTTTTTGATCTATCTCGATACTTTAAGCACATAGATTTCTTGAATAACTTCATAACATTTACATTTTTGCTTAAGGGCCACTCCAGATTTTTGCTAACGAGCTCTTGAATTCAATAGGCCTAAGTGTTTATAAATTCACAACACGTTCTGAGAAAGACTAATCGTTGAATAAGTAAGACAACTTAGTTGCTTTGTTCTGTGCTGTTTATAGATTTATAAAGGTATGACCTCTCGTATAACACTACTTACAAAGATTGAAATCTTATTGCATCTATTTTATTTATAATTTTTTGTCCATCTTAAACAATCTTTATAATCTAATGTATGTAGTTTCCATCTTATCGACTAATACACGAAAACGTCCCACCGTCAGCTTTTTTCTTCCTTTACCTTTTCTCGTACACTCCATTTGCTTCCTCTTTATTTCATACTTCTCATGATATATAATACTGATCCTCATCCTCACCATCATCATCCTCATTTACTCAGCGATGGCGACAGATATTTGCCGACAAGGGGTCCGAAGTGTCCAACGGAGGTGTGCGGACCAAGGTGAGACGAAGCCTCGGTCGACGGCCCGAAATAACAAAATCCCTGTTAGGGTTCATGGAGAGAGTTTTTATGGCTTAATTTGGTCCTAAATGTGCTTTTAAGCACACTATTAGAGGTCGGTAGTCAAAAAAACGTTATTTAGATAGGCAAATTCTTATTATTTTTTTAATTTTTGGTCCGACGACCTATTCGTTCTTCGGACGGCAGGGGGTCTAGCAAATGCTCCCCCCGCTGAGGCTGCTGCTACTGCTACTACTGCTATTACTAGATACAAGATAAGAATGATTTTATTGCAAATTTGAAATGTACAGAATTATTTTAAGTAATAATATTAAAAATTAAAGACTACTACCGTATACTGAAGTTAGCTGTAATGCATCACCTGGTTTATATCTTTACAGAGGTTTAGAAGTAAGGGTCGTTTCTTGATGGGTTGCTTTTCAGCGGCTTCCAACGTAACAGGTATACTAACAGACACCTTGGATGTTGCTTCACTGTTGCACGAATATGGAGCACTATCATGCTGGGACTATGCAACAGCAGGTATTATTTTGTCAACATTATTATAAGTAGGCCAAACATTTTTAATATTGGAAGATGATATAGGCCTTAATAACTTACGTAATTTGAAGATACATTAATTTATAAAAGGAATTTGAATTTTAGTTTTTATTATTTCAACATAAACAGGTATGTATTTAAGTACTACCGATAGCTTGGCTTCGATATTACAGTCGACACAATACCTTTAAAAAGTAGGTCATCAAACCAAATAATTATGAGCCATTATCAATTATGATAATGGTAGGTATTCACCCTATGCGGCTTTAATGGTAAATACCTTAATAATCGCTCACATCATTGTCTATCTCCTTGTGTTTGTATTGAGATACCACAGAGTGCCTGATAGTATAGTTTACAAGTTCATTATGAGATGATAATATTTATATATAAGTATATGACTCATATCTTTCGAGTTAGAACTGTTTTTCTTTTCAGAATAATGAAAGACTCCTCCTACGTTTCTAACAATGTAATTAACGAAGTTCCGGGTTACAATACAATTTGCCCTCATTTGACTTGCTTAGTTTAGTTACAAGAGCACACACAATATATTATATATATATATAAATATATATATATATATATATCTGGTATATATTATATATATAAATTTAAATATATATGTATATATGTATATATAGCCTATCATATTGATTTAAGCATATATATATATATATATATATATATATA